ATCCAGCCTAAACACACTCCTTTTCTCAAGACCCATAATTTAATCACGTCTGTAAAGTTCATTTTGCCAACATTCAGGGACGAGGACCTGGATATTCTGGGGAGCCGTATTTTAGCCCACACACCCCTTTCTCCAGAATTTATTTTGTCCAAACGCTACTTTAATGAGATTGAAGAAAATGACTGGATTATCACAAATTTAGTAGCTGACGATGACAGGCATTTACTTGGCTCATGATTCCATGGGCTGGCAGTTGGGGCTGCATCATGCCCGTGCCAGCAAAGTCACAGTGCAGAACAAAGGGGTACGGGGGGTGGTGCAGCCCTGCGGCCATTCTTGCCGCCTGTCACACCCAAGTGCGGCGGGAGCTGGGAGGAGGGTGCCGTGGCCCTTGCAGGGGTGCGGATGAGCAGCGGTGGGTCTCCTTCTGCACCCACCTCTCCCCCAGGCCCCTTCCACGGAGTGAAGCTGGTGGTGGAGACGCCCGAGGACACCCTGTTTTCCCACCAAGGGGCCAATGTGACCCTGCCCTGCCGGTACCACTACGAGCCAGCCCTGGTCTCCCCGCGGCCCGTGCGCATCAAATGGTGGAAGCTGTCGGAGAACGGGGCCCCGGAGCAGGACGTGCTGGTGGCCATCGGGCTGAGGCACCGCTCCTTCGGCGACTACCGAGGCCGCGTGCACCTGCGGCAGATTGAGGAGCGCGAAGTGTCGCTGGAGATCTGGGACCTGCAGCTGGAGGACTACGGGCGCTACCGCTGTGAGGTCATCGACGGGCTGGAGGACGAGAGTGGCCTGGTGGAGCTGGAGCTGCGGGGTGAGACCGCCAGGGGGGCTGCGTGGCGCGGGGATCTAGGGGCCGAGGGGAGGGGCCCCGAGAGAGCAGCCAGACCTTTGTGCTTGAGGAGATAAACATTTAACCCTCAAAACAACCCTATGAGGAAGCTACTATTATTATCAGCCCCATTTTACAGATGAGGAAACTGAGGCACAGAGAGTTCAGGTAACTTAACTGGAGGTCACCTAGCTCGTAAATGGCAGAGCAGGCACGTTGACCCCATTCCAAGGGAGGGAGGTGGCAGCCGGTCGCACAGCTAATTAGAGACAGAACAGGGTTGGCAGGCCACGTGGATGGATGAGGCGGCCCGGTGGGAGGTGATAGGGAGTGGTGGGGACTGGGGCACGCTGCTGAGGCTGGGCCCTCCTTTTCGATGGCCCCACAGCCTTATTTCTCACAGCTCCGTGGGCTGGAAGTCTGAGACCAGGATCCAGCACGGTCTGGACAAGGGACCCCTGCTGGGCTGCAGACTTCCGGCCGTGTCTTCTCACAGCAGAAAGGCCGGGGAGCTCTCTGAGGTCTTCGATAAGGACATGCATCTCAGCACAAGGGCCCCATCTACGTGATATAAGCACCTCCCAAAGGCTCCAGTGATCACCTTGGGGCCTAGGATTTAAACACAGGAATTTGGGGAACGCATTGAGACCCCAGTGCTGGGATTCTTGCAGCAGCCTGGGCATGAGGTATTATTTGCCTTCCCTGGTTGGGGACATTAGCTGGCTGACTGATTCATTAACTTAACCCAGCGATTCTCAACTGGTGAGCTGCAAGAATTTTTAAAACATGCAATGTCTGACAATTTAGTCAGGGGCACGGACCTTTTTTCCTTCGACTCTCAAATGAAAACAAACGATAACAGCCAACACAACAATAGCCGTCTGGTGTGACTGCCTCGTCTTTAGCCATAAACATGTATGTCATATGATAGAGTTGTATCATATTGGTCATGTCCCTTAACAAGGTTGCATCTGATGGGTTAATTCTTGGCCTCAGAAATCCTTATATACAAGCACAGGCACCTGATTTTTAAAAAATCACTTAGTGGTAATGGAAAAAATATAATACAATTTTTTTTTAAAGATGTAAAAAAGTCACTTTAGAGCAAAAAGAGTAGGTAATAGTACTATTATAATTTTTTGTAAGTCAATCAAAATTATACCTACTTTTTTGTCAGATCAGCAAAAGATGTAATGCAGTTTTTGGTCCGCCGTGGAATTTGTCATTAGCTTTTGTGCCGTGGGATGAAAACGGCTGCAAACTGCTGCTCTGACAAGCTTGCAGCCTAGTCCTTCTAGAAGGGAGGTGTAACCCAGTGTCTGCCTTGGACTTGGACAGAGACCAGGCCGTGAGGGGTTTGCTGAGCTCCGATGTATGTCAGAGTATGTGCGTGTATGTCGGGATCACCTGTCCCCGCGGAGGTGGGGGCAGTGCCCCGGGGTCTCTGGCTGCCCTGCAAACCCCCTTTCCTCCCTCCCCAGGTGTGGTATTTCCCTACCAGCCCCGCCAGGGGCGCTACCGGCTCAACTTCCAGGAGGCCCGGCGGGCCTGCGAGGACCAGGACGCGGCGGTGGCCTCCTTCGAGCAGCTGTTCCGGGCCTGGGAGGAAGGCCTGGACTGGTGTAACGCGGGCTGGCTGCAGGACGCCTCGGTGCGGTATCCCATCGCGCTGGCCCGGCAGCGCTGCGGTGGCCTGGGCCTGGCGCCCGGCGTGCGCAGCTATGGGCCGCGCCATCGCCGCCTGCACCGCTACGACGTGTTCTGCTTCTCCGCTGCCCTCAAGGGTGAGTGGGGTGGCCCACACAGCCTGTGGGGGCGGGGCGGGGAGCGCCCGGGGCCCTTCGGGGCACCTGTGTTTGCCCCGGGGCACCGCTACCTCTAGCACCGCAGACGTTGAAGCGCGTGTGGCTGAGTTTGAGGGCTTTGATGCTGCTGGTCAAGCCAATCACTCGTTTAGTCATTCATCAAACACTGCCTGAATGCCTATGACTGGCTGGGGCCTGGCCTGCGTGGGCTCTAGGCATCACTGACAAGTAAAACCCAGTCTGCCCTCAAAAGCGGCTCATTTCCTGGGAAGGTAGTCAAGTGAAAACAGGAAGTGATGCAGAGCCACACCCCAAGCATCTAGGAACCTGCGCGGCTCATCTAGGGGCTCAGGAAAGGATGGAGCCAGCCAGAGACTCTGACTGGCCCAGCCCTGGTGGGGTGCCCACCCAGGGTGCAATGACGGAAGGGTTGGGGGGGTATGGGTAGGACAGGAAGGACCCCAGCCCTGTGGCAGGTGGGAGGGAGCTCTCAGAGAGGGCGAGGACTGGGAAGGTGCCCCTCAAAACATCTAAACAGGTGCCCACAGCATGGTGGCCCCCGGGGCCCAGGACGATCTTCGGGGTCTGGGGGGGCTGACATGGCTGCAGGTGCGGCTGTCCCCTCCGGCTGTCCCTCCCACTGCCCAGCCCTCGCGCCACTCCCCCCACACAGGGCAGGTGTACTACCTGGAGCACCCCGAGAGGCTGACCCTCTCGGAGGCAAAGGAGGCCTGCCGGGAGGACGGCGCCCAGATCGCCAAGGTGGGCCAGCTCTTTGCCGCCTGGAAGTTCCGTGGCCTGGACCGCTGCGATGCCGGCTGGCTGGCCGATGGCAGCGCCCGCTACCCTGTGCTTCACCCACGTCCCAACTGCGGGCCCCTGGAGCCTGGTGTCCGAAGCTTTGGCTTCCCAGACCCTCAGAGCCGCAAGTATGGTGTCTACTGCTACCGTCCTCACTAGAGCCTGTCCCTCACAGGCTCTATTTATTGAATGGCTCATTTTCCCTATTGGTTGGGGCCGTTTTCCCATTGTTTTTATATTTCTCAACTTAAAATTTAAAAAAAAAATGACCATTTTTGTAAAACCAGCAGATCCCAAATCCTCCCTTTGCTCAGGCAGACACCCCAAGGCTCCCCCAACCAGGGATCCTCCTGCCCGTCCTCTGGGCCATTTGAGCTTCGTCAGCTCACGAGGACTCTGTCGTCACGGAGCGCAGCCCCTCTCCTCGCCCCGGGGAGGCCGATGTCCAGAGTGGGCAGTGACGAGGCGTCGCCCACCGTGGCTGCAGCCTTCGCTCTGCCTCAGCCGTTGAGGGAGAGGGCGTGCGGGGCCTCAGAGCTGGGCTCCGGGCCTTGCAGTCCCCTGCCCTCTGGGGGAGGTGGGGTCCAGGCTTCTGTGGGAGATCCCAGGGAATAGGTTGGCGGGGGATGCTCCTCCCACCATTCATGCCCTCAGTTCAGGAGTCTGTGTTTTGTTCTCAGTTTTCCCAGTTTGGTCTGGGTGCTTAATTGGACAATACACGGTGCTGTGAGCCCCCTCCTCCTTCCCAGCCCTTGTCTGTCCCGCGCGGCCCTGTGCACGTCCATGAGGGCAAAGCCGGTCGACTGTCTCACAGACACACACTCTCTTTCTCTCTCTCTCTCTTTCCATCAAACACACCTGTACCCTCGTAAAATTAAAGCACACCAGGTATGACTGTGCTGGGCTCTCTGAACAGCCAGGATTTCCACCACTTTGGGTTTATTGGATCAAAACGTCTCCACAGCCACCATTCCTAAGGGCCCCTTTAGTCGACTCTAGACCACGGTTGCCCTCTCCTTAAACAAGATCAAAAAAATAGAAATAAAAAAGAGAAGGGAAAAGAAATAGATCTCTTCCAATGTCTTTATTATAATTATCATAATCTTCAATTTTCAAAAATATAAATAGGTGCACGGAACCCTGGTGCCTGCACGGTCCCGGGGGTGGGGGTGAGGGGAGAGGAGTGGGAGGGCCTCCCACAGGGAAGGGAGGGCCCCCCCCCAGCCCTGCCGAGAGAGATGACACCTGCCAGGGTGGCAGACCGGCGAGAGGACCCGGCAGAGGGACCCTTGGAGGGAGCCCGACCCCGTGCGGCGGCGGAGGACTCCGCGATGGCGCGTGCCTGCCCGTCACCCAGGGCTGCGGAAGCGCCGCCTCCCCCCCCCCCGGCGTCTCCCCACATGGGGGCTGTGCCCGCATCCCGTACATTCAGCTGCGCTCCCCGGCTCTTCCTGCCCTGGGCCTCTGCCCTCCCAGCTCCTCCCGCCCCCTCCTCCCTCCTCCCTAGCTCTCCCTGGAGGTCAAAGAACCAACGATTGCACTGCTCTTGGATAAAGTCAGCAAACAAAAAATAATCTTCTTTATTTAACTTAACCCCTCCCTGCTCCCCCTGTCCCTGCACTGGTCCCTGGAAAGGCACAACGGGAGATTGAAGAAACGTCTCTAAACTCAGTCCACGGGGTACAATACGTTGGCTTTGCTTTGGCATTTCGGGGGAAAGTCGGATGCGTTTTTGGCAATTTGGGGGGTGGTGGGTGCATACACAACGTGGGATTTAATTTTTTCCTTCTTTAATGGAATTCCTTATATGACAGAAAGCGGCAAGAAGAGGACACCATCCGCGTGGGACGTCAGCCTGGACAGGCTCCTGGGCTCAGCATCCTGGGCGCGTCCGGGGGGCCCTCTCAGTGGGCCGTGCTGGGGCGGCTCCTCCGCTTCTGTAGTCTGCGCTTGTAGGTGGCGGCTGGGAGAAGGGACAGGGGCGGTCGTGGTGAGCCCTGGGGAGAAAGCGGGCGGCCTGCCTCTCCCTGTCTTGCCCTCTCTCCGCTGGCTCCCCTCCCTGCAGGAGCCTGGGCCAGTGAAGGCAGCCTGAGGTTTTTTCCTGCCTCCCAGTTTTGATTTTCCTCGAATCAGCTTGGGCTAAGGGGCTGTGGACAGGTGTTGAAAAGGAAAGTGGGCCGCCTGCTTTCTCCTTCCTCCTTGGGGGCGGGCGGGGGCAGTGACCAGTGGCCTTGTCTGCAGATGGTGCTGACCGTGCGGGTTTAGGGTCCCCAGGTACTCGTGGGACAGGGAGGAGAACACGTGGCGGGGCTGTAACGCTGGGCCAGCGCAGGGGGGGAGGGAGGATGCTCACGGTCCGTGCAGGTGATCCGAGGCTCCTCCCAGTGCCCGCTGGGCAGGCACCGGATGGTGGGCACGTGGCGCTGGACGAAGCCCTCCGTGCACTGGTACCGTACCAGCGAGTTGATCTCGTACCGGTCCTTCTTCTGGCCGAACATCCTGGCGTGCTCCACCACGGGGGGGTCTCCGCAGGCCACTGAGGGGCAAACACTCTTCAGAGAGGGACCTCAGGGGGTCTCTGTGATGACCCCTGCCCTGGATGAGGAGCCAGCGTGGTCCCCTCTGGCTGGGGTGAGACCACCTGGAGCCCGGGAGCCAGGACAGGGGCCTGGAGCCGGGACACCCAGCCGTGAGCCCTGGCTGCTGACCAAGGGGCGTTTTCACACCGGGCTCAGAATCTGGAAACCATCTGGGTTCCTCGCTGACTCAGAGCAGTAGGAAGGGAATAAAAGGAGGGTCTTCAGGGGGGAAGAGAAAGATGGAGGAAGGGAGGGAGAGAAAGAGGGCGAGCGCCAGGCAGACCATCTGCCTCTTATTTATGAAAACACCCTGGGTCCGGGGGAGAGTGGGGCCTCAGCCGGACGGCTGACTCCAGGAGACGCCGCCCCCAGGACAGTCCCAGGCTGCTTGGTGGTGACGGAGTGACTGACGGCAGCAGCCAGGAGACGTGGGCACGCACCCTGGTCTCATCACACAGCAGGCACTGGTTCCTCCCACTCGGGCCCTCGCAGGCCCGCCTCACCTGTGCCCTTTTTACACGTGAAGGGCAGGTGGTAATTGCAGGGCACGTCATTCCACTCGCCCTTCTCGTGCCAGATCATCACCACGCAGTCCTCTCCGCTGGCGAAGAAGTTGTCAGGCTGGTTGGGGCGCCAGTTCTCAAATTGCTGTGGGTGGGGGTAGGGAAACGGTGATGAGGGGGCAGGAGCCTCCTGGCTGGGCCTGACCCCCAACTCCCCGCCTCTAAGCTCCGCTCTCCAATCTCCTTTCTTTTCTGGCAGCGGTGCAAAGGCTGCTGGGAGTCTGGTCAGGATTGTCCTGGCTGTGGTCCTTCTCAGCCCTTCTCAAGGACAAGGTGTCACAGTCCCTGTTAATGAGCTGCTGTCACCCCCCTGTTCCACAGAGGCCAGCAGGGGACGGGCACGCAGGCTGCCTCGCTTGGGTAGGACCGGGCTGGCAGAGACCAGGCTGCCAGTCTCCTCGGCCTCCCTAGGCTCCTCCCTCTGGCCTGGCCCCGGGACAGACAGATGCCCTTTCCCATAGTGTAACCGAGCCCCTCGCCCGTGATCCTGGCCGCGTTCACCCCTCCCGGGAAGCCTCCCTGGAGGCCCTTCACAGACAGACAGCATTTACTGTGTGTGTTCTCCATCTTGGCTTCTATGGTGCTGTTGGCGCCCTTAGGTCCTCCGTTTTCGAGGAACCCCTCTCAAGCTTCCTCACGGCTCTTGCGGGCGGTGGCTTGCCCTCGCCCATTCCTTGCCGTCCGCATTCCCCTCCTTCCTTCATGGGGTCATTCACTCAGCTCGTCCAGCCCTGGGCTGGCGGCCAAAGGTGGACACGCACGAGACACCCTCTCTGTGCCGAGTGTCCGGTCCAGCAGCTGCTCAGGGAGTGTTTGCATGGGGTTTGAATGCGTCACCCTCCGGGGGCCTTTATTCCCCTCGTTGGTGTCACCAACTCTTCCTGGAGCCCCTGGCAGAACTCACCAAGGAGTGTCCATCTGACCAGCGGAAGTCCCCTTCGATGGTCCTGTCGTTCAGGCCGATCCACTGGTAGTTTTGGGCATTGTCTGAAGAGAGGACATGGGCATTGGGTGTGGCCCTGAGCACCCTGGGGATGTCGCGGACACGTGCGCTCAGAGGCAGAGGAGATGGGGGGGACATGGGTGGGCTCCGGGGAGCATGCCGCCTGCCTCTGAGGTCCTGGACGGGGTCTCGGCCCATGCACGCCGGAGCCCTTCAAACCCCCTCCCCAAGCTGGCACGGGCTAGTGACAGCCACAGGCTAGGCTGGGGCTGGCTCTGACAGACAGTGGGCTGTCCTGGGTGCTGTGGGCACCGTTGGTCCCAAAGACTTCTCTCCTCTTCTCTCAGGGAACTCAGGCTGCAGAGTCCCCTCCCTCCCGGCGCCCACCCCTGCAGCCTCACTGGGTCCCTGGAAACCCCGCCAGACTCACTGTTGACAAACTCCTGCTCCTCGGGGGTGACGATGCTACTCAGGTGTGACTGCTGCTCCCGACACCGGCTCTCCGCGTCCACCCAGCTCTCGCGGTCGGGGAAGTGGCGGTAGCAGTGGCCCTGGAACTTGGTCCAGCCCTCCTCGCACAGCTCCTGGTCTGCAACACAGGTCAGGCGCTTGATGGGAGGGGCCGGGGCCGACTGCGGATGGCGGAGGCGGCGGCCAGTCTCACAGTGCAGATTTCTGCCCTCTCCCTGCCTTCGGGGCTCCCCCTCAACGGAGGGGAACGGCCCAGCCAGATGGGAGCCCAAGCCGGAAGCCATGTCTTTCCCTGATGTTGCCTGCCCCCACCCCTACCCCCAGAGCTTTCCTCCTGTGGATGTCAGCTCTGCAGGGCTGGCAGAGTTCGGCGGGCCCAGTAAAGAGGTGGGGAGGTGGGAGGTGTGGAGCTTTGAGGCAAAACATGGCTCAAAGGCTCTGAGGATGTCTAGTTTGAGAGGGAGGTATGTGGAAGGCACTGGCAGTTGCAGCCGCAGCAGGTGGAGCTGCAGGCATGAAATGGCACGTGGGGTGGGCACAGAGGAGCGGAAGTAAGTCTGCTTTGGGTCCAAAGAGGACAAAGAGCTCCGTGGGTCCATTAGGGCTGGCTCTGGCTGAGCACACCGCGCCCGCCCCTTGGAATTCAAGGCAACCAGCTCTGGGGGTCCTGGCCTGTTCTTTTATTTCTTGGTGGCAGAAGAGGAGAGGGGAAGAAGCTCTCTGCTCCCAAAGCTACGTTGGCAGTGGAGGAGGGGCCGGTTTGGAGCTCCCAGGGTGGCCTGGGGGTGAGGCGGAGGCCCAGGCGTGCTGAAGGCGGCTTGCTCGGGCTTGGGAGAGCTACTCTGCCCCTGTCTCTCCAACTCTGCCTGCAGCAACACACAGTAGAGGCTTTTGGTGGGCCCCGTGGGACTGTTATACCTCAGACATGGGCGGAGGCCACCAGCGAGGGCTCCCCTTGGAGCCCACTGTTAACATCTGCTGGCACAGCCTTGGACAGGGAGTTCCAAGCCCCTCTCTTCCCCCTGCTCCAGGGCCCTGGGGCTGAGTGCAGGGCCACGGTCCTCCCAGGCTGCCTGGCCGCCTCCTGGAGGGTCTGGATGTTCCAGGAAGGAGGGGAAGGGGTGCCGGCGCGGCCGGTTCAGAACAGACACTCTGGGGAAGAGCGCAGGAGGCCGGCATGCTGAGAAGAAAGAGGCGGAGCAGCAGCAAGTCTGAGGAGGAGGCGCAGCGGCCAAGGCCTCCTGAGGCCGAGGTGTGGGGAGAAGGCGGAGAGGCCAGAGGCAGGTGGCCCCCCCTCGCCCCTAGGCTGGCTGTGGGGCCCATTCTTGGGCCCCATCCGCGTCCATGGGCTGAGCTGGAGGCTGGGGATGCTGCAGGGGTCGGGGGCTGGGGGCCGTGCCGTGCGGGATGGAAGCTCTGGGAGAAATAACAGCGGCCTTCCAGGAAGGCTGGGAGAAGCGGGGGACCGAAGCCAAGGTGTGAGGGCCCGTGGGGTCGTGGGGGCTCAGGACTCGAACGGAAGAAGAGATGCGGCCCTGCTTAGCTGGGTGCCCTGGACCGTCTTTCTGCAGAGCCCTGTGAGCGCCCTGCGTCCACTCCCGCAGGGCACCTCCCCTCCCAGCCTGGCGCCCGAGAGCGCCTGTGTGTGCACCGTCCAGACCCTTCGCCCCGATGACAAATATGTTGGCACCCTGGGGGAGAAAATCCTTTTCCACCCCAGCCAAGACCCTATGCACCAATTTCTTGGGGTCTTAGGGTGAAAGTGGAGGACGGGAGGCTGCAGGGAAGGAGGACTCAGGCCTTTTCTTGCAGACGCCTTAAGTGCCTCCACCAGTCTGTGACCTCGGCAACGCCTCCCAGGAACAAGCAATCCTAACCTGCCTCCCACACAGCTTAGACCACAGGGAGACCTCCCAGGAGTTTTGGCTGCTGTCTGGAAGTTTCTGGGATGTCTGACCTGAGAGTTCAGTACAAACGGTTTTAAGCCCCTGCACGCGGCCAGGTCTGTGTGAGCCATTGCTGCTAGCAACCAGGAGCCTCGCCTCCCCCACTCCCACAGTGGGGGGCCGGGGGCGCGGCCTGGCCTGGAGGCGGAGGCAGAGGAGTTGGCGCTGCCCCTGCCCCCTGCCATGAGGCTGTTCTCTCTGGCCTGCCCTTTGCCCTCCACAGGGGAGGGAGAAAGGGAGTGTGGCCGGAGTGGCACTGACCAGCAGCTGTCACGGTGGTGATGAGGAGGTGACATGCAGCAGACCCTGCACATGCATGACTGGAGCAGGCTGGTGACACGGGGAGGGGGAGCTCCCAGGCAGACAAATCACAGTTCTTGCCAGAGAAGAGGAAGGTAGCTTGGCCAGTGCGGCACAGTGGCTCCCAAAGCCATGGAGGGGCCACCAAGGTCCCAGAGACAATCAGTCAGCAGACCCACGCCCTTGACCATGCGAGGACGCTCCGTGGCCGTCATCCGGAGTGAGCACCAATTACTACTCCCACCCACAGCTTCCTTCAAGGCAAAGGCACAGACTGTGCTCTGTCCTCTCAGTCTGCTGCGTGCACCGGCCTTGGTGGTGGCGTCAGCTGGCCTGGAAGCCCTGGAGAAGGTGTTTTAAACGTCCCCCCAGAGGCCCACATTTCAAAGCACAGGCTGGCCAGGCCTGCGTGTCTCCCCTGTGGCCAAATCAGCCCCTACCCCAGAGGTGGGTTTTTGTGGGGAACAGCCAGAGAAGGAGTAGGAGTGGTGGGGCAGGCCTCTCACAGTGGCTCCCGAATTGGCCCCAGCCAGAGCCTGGAGCCTGTGGTTAGAAGGGAAGGGTGAGGGAGGAGGAGGGGCGCAGCAGTTAGTAACATTAGCTGAAGCCGAGACGGCCGTACCGATCTCACACAGGTCCCCTCGGTAGCTGGGAAGGCATAAGCATGTGAAAGAGTCGATGGCGTCCACGCAGGTGGCTCCATTCAGACAAGGGCTTGAGAGGCACTCATCAATGTCTGCAAGAAACCAAGGGCCACCATTAGGACGCCCGCCGGCAACTCCAGCCTCACAAGCACCGCAGCCTCCTTACGGGTGGCCAGCCGTGCAGCTCTCCAGAGCCCTGGGAGGGGTGGCTGGCTTTCCTAAGCCCCGTTGCTGCTGCTGCTGCTGCCACCGTCTTGGAATGCTGCACGACTGATCCACCAGGGGCTCTCGCAGATGTGTGTGGTTCTTGATGGGCACACTGAGTGCTGGAGGCCGGCTTCCCGGTGGGTAGAGATTCGGTGCTTCGAAAGCCAAGTGCCCGTTGGTGACAGTGAGCATGGGGTTCCTCCAAGACGCCTTCTCTTGTGATTATTTCAGGAAGCCACGGGGTCTGAACTGGCTCAACATGGCAGTGAGCAATGGAAGTCAAGTTCTTGGCACTTGGTTAGAATTCTTTGCTTGTCTTGCTTCCTCTGTAGTTGTGAACCAAGGGAAGAGGGCAAGGCTGTGCAGCGCTAGAATGAATACGCGGTCTGCAGAGTACAGAGCCATGACAGAATGGCAGGAGGGCGTATTTGCATGGAAACTTCGGGGTTGCAGACACCGTTCTTGTCTTTAGTAGGTAAGATTCTAGAGCATCTTGTGAGAATGAAGCCAGCATTGCTCTCTTGGGGGCAGCGACGGAAACCCAGCCTGACATTTCCCCATGCAATTTCCTTCCAGTGTAAGGGCCCAGAACATGGGCACTCCAGTGAGTCAGCACTTCTGGAGGGGCTCCATCCTGGCCGGTGGGATACCAGCGTCTGAAGCCAACAAGGTATTTAGTAAGTGGCTGCCCACCAACACCGGCCTGGGACACAACCAGGTCCCCATCAGCCTCTTCTTCCCAGACATTCTCTTCCCTTCTGTTCTTCTGGTCCAACATGTTTTTTGTGATCCAACTTCTTTGCAGGACTTAAATTGGGAGGTCATTGGCCTTCGCCTCAAATTTTCCTCCACTGGCCAAGGTAAACACTGAATCTCCTAATCTGGTCCCTCTGCACCTTTCTGAGAAGCTAGAGAACTTTGTATTTGTACTCCAAAGGCTCCTGCTGGTTTTTCTCCTGGGCTGCTTCCCCTGGGAACATGGTGTAAGGTGCTAGGAAGCTCCTCCTCCCAGGAGATCCACGGAAGTCTGCAATGAATGGGGTCCGCCGGCTCACGGGGCTCAGCCTTGGTGTGTGCATCTGTGTCCCTACAACCTGCAGGACGCGGCGTGTCTACAGGTAGTCTCTACCAGGACTAAGGTCTTGCCTCTCACAAGAACAGACTATATTGTAAAGCCATTCCTCTTGTTAGAAGGCACTTTCTTCTGGATCCTTTTCACTGGGGCCTAGTAGACACCTTCTGGACCAGAGTCGGGTCTGTGCAATGGGTAGCCTGAAACATCTCAAGTTGCCAGGAATCAATCTCTTTCTCTCCTCACAAAGTTCTTAATGTCTTCTTGGGGAGAGCACACCATGGACTAGAAACCGACAGTTCCAAGTTTGGAATGGTCCCAAGCAAAACCAAAATGCATGAGGAACTGACTGAAATCCCAGCATGCACTTGGATTCCCAGCAGCAGCAGTAGCAGCAATAGGTCAGGCTGGTGGGCCGGGCGGAAGCTGGGGGCGGCTCTCCTGCTTCGGGAAAGCTCCCCTTCTCTTTTGTCCATTAGCATCATTACGGAAGACGGGAAGCACCGGGCAAGGGGGGATTAAGCACATGTAGGCGCTAAAGCAGTTGTATAGAGCGGGGGACAGGGGCGGTCTCTGGGGAGAAGAGCCAGATGTCAACCTGGGGGCCTCTGGCCAGCCGCAGGGGACAGGGCAGGAAAGGCAGAGGCCAGAGGGAGGCCGGGCCAGGTGGCTTCCGGGTTTCCCAGCCGCTCATTTCCCGTTGCCCACCCCCAGGTGGCCCAAGGTCCAGGGGGCAGCATTGCTTTTCCTTTTGCGTTTGGCTAGGGCCCAAAATCTGAGAAGGTGGCGGTTTTGCGCAGGGCCCTGGAATCATAGACAAAGGGGAAGGGAAGGGCTGCGATCCTGCAGACCAGACAGCCTGTGGGTGCCCTGGGGGCAGTTCAGGGGGGCTGGAAGTCAGCAGCTCCAGTGGTAGGAAGGGGGCCGGGGTCCCGTGCGGGGCATTCTTCCAGACCACTATGCCCTGCATCACCACCTCTTTCTGCAAAGGGCAGTCGGGACATTGCCCATCTTCTGGGACCACGAGAGGCGTGGGGCCGGGTCCTGCTGTGAGCGAGCGCAGAGTGAGGGACCCCGACAAGGTGGCAGCATGTGGAGGACGGGACAGATGTGGGGAACAGGCAGACTGTGTGATGGGAGAGAGGGAACCAGCATCCCTCGAGAATGTCCCCTGAGCCAGATGCTACGTCTCACACACACGTTATCCCCCCGAACAGCCCTACAAGAACGGCAGATAGGTTCTAATCATCTTGTTTGGGGGGACTCCTTCAATCAGAGGATCCCCAGGGGCCATTCCTCTGGTTAGAATGTCCTATGAGCTACTTGACCCATGATGAGGGACCGGCTAAGGCCCCAGGGTGGTACGTGCTCAGGGGAAGGATGCCGCCGGGTCACCACTGACCCGCAGCTGTGAATGCTGGAGCTTAATGACAAGTGCAGTCTGTGTCATTTCCTTCAGGGCAAGAAAGGGACCCAAATGTTACCCAGCCCCAAGCATGTAGGGGACTTTCTGGAGAGATTCGCTCTCCACGATGCACAACAGCCCCCGCTCTGAGCGCCCCCACCAGGGACTGTTGGGCATGACCGGTCCCCTCCAACATTTCTTTGAAGTCTCAAGTTTTATCTTAAAAATTCAAGCACCTTTTGCTTGCTGCTTCTCAAACCACCCTTGACTTGGCAAAACACTAACTACTTCTCAGTTTCATTCCTTAGCTGAGCTTTTTTTTTCTCTTAAACCACTGGGTAGAACAGATGCCCTGGAAAGATGTGCCCCATTTTTCTGGCGGTTTCTACCCCCGCAGGTCACTGTGCACCTCTCTCCTTCACAGTCTGACAAGCCAGAGCCTCGGGGGACCTCAGTCGCCTCCTCCTGCCTGCAGCTCCTTCTGGGGCTGAAGGAGTCCCCCCCTCCCCGATGAGGGGCTTACCTATGTCGCAGTGCTTGCCAGTATGGCCAGGGGGGCACAGGCATGTGACGTGTCCCGCCGTCTCCTGGCAGGTCCCAGCGCCACAGGGATCCTCAGCACAGGACCTGGCGGGGGCTGCAACCCCCAGGGAGAGGCTGAGCGTCGAGAAGCCAGCCGCTGGGGATACAGCGCAGCCTCCGAGACCTTGCAGTTGGGGCACGAAGTCCCCCAAGCTCAGGAGGCAGAGTGTGGCTCAGCATGTTTCTGGGGACCCCCTCCTGGACACCTGGCCTTGGCATCTGGGGGCTGGGCTCCCTGACTGGGCAAGGCCTCTCAGCACACAGGGAAGTGCAAGGGAGCCCAGAGCAAAACGTGGACAAGGATCAGCGCCTGGTGCCGGTGCCGGGATGGTGAAGCTGGGACAGAGGAGTCCCCGGTACCGGGGTGAGGGTGGGGATGCAGGCACTAAAGTCAGGACTCAGCCAAAATGACACTATCATTCCTTAAAGTAGGCTGGTTTGAACTCGGCACAAAGTCAATATTTGGGCATAAACGTCGCCAGTACGTTCACTCTCGTCTCACGCTCGCTCCATGGGAAGGGTGCAGGAGCGTAGTTCCTGGCACTATGTAAATCGTCACCCTTCCCTCTCCCTGAGCCAAGTACACACAACTGCGTTCACACGTAAATGTTCTCGTAATATAACATCACTCTAATGGCAACCATCAGTAATCTTTATGAGCGTCTACTGTGAGCAAACTGCAATGCTAAGTGCTTGTTTTATATATGTTTATATGTTGTTTCACCTTCCCTGGGACTACCTCTGTTTTAAGGATGAGGATCAGAGAGGTTAAGGAACTTGCCTGAGGCTGCACAGCTAACCTCTGGGGGAGAGGTGTTCAGAACCTTCAGTCTACACAGCCTCCTGCTATGCTACCGTCTGAACTACCCAAACACATTTAGAAGGGAAAAAAAAATGCCAACAGTACCTGTAGTGGTTGCCCCCGATTCTCCCATCCCTTCTGGAGAAGTTAGGGTGGAAGGGTCTGTTAGGAAGGTGGCTGTTTCGGCTGTTTGGATCTCCTCTCCTGAGTGCAAGGGGCTGGAGGACTCGATTTCCAGGCGCGCCTCTGCAGGGCGCGGGGTCTGCGGGGTCCGTTCAAACTCAGGGATGCTGGTGCTGATGACAACATCCAGCCCTGAGGTGTGACCGGACGGGTCTCCGCTGAGTTCAGTCCTGTCGCCGGAAGCTGCAGGTGTGGCCGAAGGCCAGCCCGATGTTTCTGTGCCCACGTCATAGGTGCTGGTTGACTCGCCACTCACTCTCAACAGGGTCGAGCCCTCCGTGGGTCCTTCCTGGAAGGCCGAGGTGCTGCCACTGGCGCCCAGGCCTGAGGCTCCGCCCAGCTCAGCTTCATGGAAGGCCGAGGTGGTTTCACTCAGATCAGGGGACCCCGAAGCTGCTCCGCTGGCCTCAGGAGAAGCAGACGCTCCCACCCCAGCCTCAGGATAGGCGGATGTTTCAAGGCCGGATTCTGGGACTGATGACGCTTCTACCTCAGACCCGGGGAACCTCGGTGTAGCTCCACTCATGTCCCCTGAGGCAGAGGCTTCTCCGCTGGACTCAAAAATCTGGGGGGTGTATGTCAAAGGGGGTCTCTGGCCAAGTTCCTGGGAAACAGTTGGTTCAGTAACAGCCTCCACAAATTCAGAAGTGATTAAAGTAACTTCTGGAAGTCCTGAGGCCTCCCCACTGGTGCTCGTGGCTGCCGAAGACTCTGCACTCATATCAATGGTGCCAGAAAAGTCCCCACTAAAATACGGGGTACTCGAAGGCTCTCTGCTAGGCTCTACCAGCCCGGACTGCAGCCCACTGAGGTCCAAAACACCCGAAGGCCCTTCTCCCGCTTCTTGGGGTGTTGGAGGCTGAGTTACAGATTCCACCAAAGTTCTGTCCACAAGAGAGACAGTGGGGAAGCCTGATCCAAGTCCACTGCTGTCATACTCCCCTGAGGGCAGGTTGCTCCCAGTCTCAGCTCCAGAAGCTTCTCCACTGACCTCGGCTACTCCACTTGGTAGGCCACTGAATTCTGGAGGCTGGGGCGTCAGCCCACTGGAGTCAATGGCTCCAGAAGACTGTCCACTGACATCCATAGTCCCCGATGTGCCTGAGAGATCTGTCTCCCCAGAAGGGAGGCCGCTGAGTTCCACAGACCCTAAACCTTCTTCTTCTTTAAATGTAGTCGGGGTCACTTCGACCAAAGTGGTGTCCACAAATGTAATGCCAGAAGATTCACCGCTGCCACTCGTGGTACCAGAAACCAGGTCAGGAATTCCGGATGTGGTTCCGCTGAACTCTGGCAACCCCGATGGCTGCCCACTGAGATCAGGGACCCCGGACGGTTGTCCGCTCAGGTCGGTTATGCCAAATGGTTGGGCACTGCCAAAAAGATCTCCCGAAGCTTCTCCACTGACATCTGGTTGTCCAGAGGATAGTCCGCTAAGCTCAGGCCCTCCGGATGTTTCTCCTGGAAACCCTGATGGCTGTCCGCTGACCTCAAAAAGCCCAGACGTTCCCCCACTGATGTCAGGAAATGCTGATGGCTGCCCGCTGACACCAAAGAGTCCAGATGTTTCCCCGCTGATTTCAGGAGATCCAGATGCCTGGCCACTGAGTTCAGCTCCTGAAGGGAGTCCACTAGCTCCCCCACTAAGGTCCAGCTCGCTGAAGGGCAGCCCGGATATTTCTCCAGCGCCACTGATGCCAATGGTTCCCCTCCCTTCCAGTTCACTCGCACTGGTGGCGGTGACCACTTCCACCAGTGTGGTGTCCACTAGGGAGACAGTTGGGAACCCAGATGGAAGCCCACTGAAGTCAGGCAGGCCAGAGGATGGGCCACTTCCAACGTCCACTCCGGAGTACTCACCGCTAAATCCCGAGGGTGGGCCACTGGCTTCTGGAGCTTGCCCACTTCCTAGAGTCCTGGAGGGTATTCGGCCAAAGTCCAAGGCTCCAGAAGCGGACCCAATCAAGTCTTCTTTTCCAGAAGGCAACCCACTGAGGTCCTCTGCTCCAGAGGCGGAGGTTTCTAGACCTCTTCCCGAAGGAAGTCCACCGAGGTCCTCTGCTCCAGAGGCAGAGGTCTCTAGACTCTCTCTTCCCGAAGGAAGTCCACCGAGGTCCTCTGCTCCAGAGGCGGAGGTTTCTAGACCTCTTCCCGAAGGAAGTCCACTGAGGTCCTCTGCTCCAGAGGCGGAGGTTTCTAGACCTCTTCCCGAAGGAAGTCCACTGAGGTCCTCTGCTCCAGAGGCGGAGGTTTCTAGACCTCTTCCCGAAGGAAGTCCACTGAGGTCCTCTGCTCCAGAGGCGGAGGTTTCTAGACCTCTTCCCGAAGGAAGTTCACTGAGGTCCTCTGCTCCAGAAGCAGAGCCTTCTAGACCCTCACCCCCAGAGGGCAGCCCACCAACCTGAGAAGCGTTCGACCATGTGATTCCCTCTTCCTCCCCCGAGGCCAGCCCACTTCCCACAGGCAGGCCTGAGCCCACGGTCGAGGGGATGCCGCTGGCGTCAAGGTCTCCCGAGGGCAGTCCACTGGAGGCCAGGTGTCCGGAAGCTTCTCCGCTGCCTGTGAAGTCACCACTGACCTCGGGTACGCTGGATGCCACCCCCGACCCTGGCAGCTCCGTCCCACTGGGCGCTGGGGGTGACGGTGTGGACGGCTCCTCAGGTGTGAATGGCATCTCCGAGGGGGATGGCGTCTCCAAGGTGGATGGTGTCTCTGAGGATGATGTCGTCTCCGAGGGGGATGGCGTCTCGGAGGCGGATGGAGTCTTGAAGGCGGACGGCATCTCCGAGGGGAACGGCGTCTCCAAGGCGGATGGCGTCTCAGAGGCGGATGGCATCTCTGAGGGGGATGGCATCTCCGAGACCAAGGGCACTTCTGTGGCAGAAGGGCCATCTGTGCTCTCTGTTGCCGCGCCAGTGGGAGGCCGCGTAGGAGGGACCCCTGGCGGAAAGGAGGGAGAAAGACAGGCGTGGATTCAGTAACTCCACCCCCTTTCGAGCCCGTGCAGAGGAGCTGAGTTCCATTCCCTCCCCAGGAAAAATTTTCCCTCAAGAGCTCAGAGACTTGTGCAGGCATTTTCTAATGGAACGTTGCACAGAATCTCTGGAAAGGAAGGAGACGAGAAGGGAGGGAGGGAAGAAAGGCTGCCGAGAATCTCCCCAGCACCCGCAGCGCTGCTCTGTGAGACTGGAAGGGATGCCATCCACACACCCCACCGGATGTGAGGGGCCCCGCTATCACTGAGGGCAACAAGGTCACCCTTCAAGTTCCTACACATCATCCCCTGATTTATCGAAACCCATGGTTCTCAAAGCGTGGTCCCCGGACCCGCAGCACCAGCACCACCCAACGGCCTGGGAGAAAGGCACATCCTCAGACCCCGCTCCTCACCCCCGCGAATCAGACTGGGGCGATGCTGACGCCCGCTCGCGTGTGAGAGTCGTTCACTGAGCCCCAGCGTTCCGAGGCAGGGAAGGCCACACAGACCTGGCAGCGGGAAAGCGTCCGTGGGGGTGTAGGCTGGCGCCCATCGCGTCTGGTTTTCTGGCTCAGTGGTCAAATCTGGGATTGCCGTCGTCTCCTCCCTCGAGGGGACAGCCGCCACACCGGGTCCCACTTGGGCTGTGATCCGGTCCTCCAGGTCCGACGGTGCGGTGGGCGTGCCGCGCCCCTCTTCTCCTGCAGAGGGCGCAGCTAAGATTCCTGCAGGGGATGCAAGGGCTGAGGGTTCTTTCTTACCAGGGACCCATTCCCGCGGGCCCTTCCTGAGGGCAACTGGGGGACTCTGCGGTGGGCCAGGCCTGTGCAAGAGGCTGGCCGGGCCTCGGCCCAACTCCACCCTGCAGTCCAGTCGGGTCACTTTTGACCTCCCTAATTCATAAGAGCCATTGGCAGCAACCACCCTATCAGGATGCTCATGGCTCCCGCACTTCATCTCAGGGTGGCCTGAGGCCTCTCTTCTACAGCACTTACTATATCATAATACATGCCAAGGAGGGTTTAAAGGTATCCTGTGTGCAAAAGCATTTTATTCCATAACAGCCTTATGAGGTAGATACTATTATCTCATTTATAGATGAGGCAACTAAGGCATGAATTAGGTGACTTGCCCAAAGTCAGCGGCTTCCAAGTGGCAGATCTTTGAACCCAACTGCTATATCATGAAGCAGAGGGACTGAGAGGTTAAGTGACTCATGCAGGGCCACACAGCTGCTTTGCAACAGAATCATAACGAAAATTCAAGTCTGCCTGGTTTTAGAGACCAAGTTCTAACTCTCTTCTCTCTGCTCGTCTCTGGGAAGCCTCAGAAGGATGTATCTGCCTTCCTTCGAAGGTCATGTTAACTCCAGAGCTGGCCCTGCCCCAGAGGGACTGATCTTTTCCTTGTTCTGATGGACGGGGTGCGTGGGCAGGAGCCAGGAGGGGTCAGCCCCAGGGAGTCACCCCGCAGGGCAGGCGCGGGGACTGGAGGCGAGGTGAGGTCACATACCTCGGAAGCAGAAGGCATGGTGCCGGGACAGTGGGTCCGGGAGGCCTGTCTGGTTGGGGTAGAGGTAGATGGTCCTCACGCCAGGCTTGTCCCCACCACAGGCCGGCCGAGGGGTGACTATCGGGTAGCGGAGGCTGCCGTCGGCCAGCCAGCCGGCATAGCACTTGTCCAGGCCAAGGCTCCAGGCAGCGTAGAGCTGGCCAGTGGAGGCCAGCGTGGCGTTTTGGGATTCACAGAACTCCTGGGCTTCCTGGAAGGTAAGCTGCTCCGGGCGGGTGACGAAGAACACCTCCCCTGGGAGACAGAGGTGTAACCCGTCACGCCCACGGCCAGGGTGGCCCTCGCCCACCCAGGGGCTGGCACCCCCTGCCCATGCCCTCCCCCAAGGAGGGGCGGGACACCTGCCAGCGGCAGGCACGTGTTAAAGACCCCGCCCAGCCCAAATATGCCCCTCTTTGACCGTTCCCCTTTAGATTTCCCAGGACACTGGGAAACAGGGTGACCAAACAGAATGTCCCAGGAGTTGGGACTTTCAGCGCTAAAACCATCGAAGCGGCAGCCGCACTAAGAAGGGTCACTTACTTACGTTCCCTCCCTGGCCTTTTCTAAATTCTCCAGTCGCACCCAGACACCCCCGCGCGCTGCTGAGCTGGGAGCCCCCTGTGCACCCTGAGCCCTGTGCCCCCTCCACCTCCCCACCCCGTGCGCTCCTCGCGGGCAGCAGGCAGGCCCGGTAACCACTGCTGGGGGATGCGCCCGGCGCCCCAACAGTCCCTGGGGGGCCTGTCTGATTTGGGGGAAGGCACTTCACATTGACTAAATACCTACTCGTGCGGGGCCCTGGTCATACTCAAAAAAGCCTCTGACCAGAGGGTAAATCAGCCCTGTTTTACAGAGGAGAAAACTTAGGCCTCGAGCAGCTAAATCACTTACTCGGGTCTTGCAATAAATACGTGAGTGGCCATGCGGAAATCTTTCCAGAATACCAGCGTTTTCCCCAAACAGGGTTCAGGGGAATAGTGATTTGGGGATTTTAATTGAAGTTAAAACAAATGACACCAAAACCCAGGATCTGTGTTTGAATGAGCTTGGGCAACGTTTGGGTACGAGGTCTCTCTGCTTGTTTGTTTTTACTGCAGGGCTTCTCAGAGCCTTTGACTTGTTCGCGGCCATTGGGACGGTGCACGAGGCCGAGGGTAGGTATTAAAAAAATGGATTTACTTTTCTGCAGACAAACGTGGGAGCGGGCAAATGGCGGACTCCCCTCTCCGTTCTGTGTTTCCCCGAAAGTCCCGGCCCCCCTGAGGCCTGGAACGCCACGACAGGGCCCGTACCTTCCAGCTTGTCCACGTAGCAGTAGACGTCGTAGGTCTCCGATGGTGGGCGCATGCCGTAGGTCCTGACTCCCGGGCTGCTGTCTTTGTCGCCCACACACGGGGTCCTCGGGCTCACAATGGGGTATCTGCAAAGGAGGGAAGGAGGGCCGGGTGAGGGCCCGTTCAGGGCTGGGGGATGCAGGGTGAGGCTTGGGGCCACTTGGAGGATCAAGGAGAGTCTGCAGTTGTCCAGGGAGATTCAAACCAGGGAGAAGCCCTTCATATTGGGCGCCCCTGGGGGATTCCTGGCTTTAGAGGAGAGCCCACTGCATGCAGAAGCATTGGAAGGGACTGGGGAACTTGAGGGTGGGGTCTCCCTCTCTGTCTCTTGGGGGAAATGACCTAGGACTTAACGTCACCCACGGCCCTTCCTTACCCTCTCTGGATGTGCTATAGTTCTGGGGGAGAAATTAAGGGAGCAGCCGTGGAGCCACTGATTAATTAATTAGCCTTCAGGGCAGCAGGGGCTCACTGTGTCCTGGGGGCAGGCCCCTCGCCTGACCTATAGGGCGGGTTTGGGCCACGAGGGGCGCCCGGCCGGCGGGCCCTTCACCTGACGGTCTGGTCCTGCAGCCAGCCTGCGTCGCACTGCTCGTAGCCAGCTTCATAGGCGGCCTGGAGCTGCTCGGGCGAGGCGATGGCGGCGTTGTTCTGCCGGCAGGCCCGCTGGGCCTCCTCGAAGGTCAGGGCGTAGCGGGCGGAGCCCGGGCGGTAGTGGAACACCACCCCTGGGTGGGGGAGCAGAGGGAGAGGGGGAGAGACAGCAGGCTCAGGGCAAGGACCGGGCACCCTGGTGCCGGCGCCCACGGCGCCCGGTCCGCACGCCTCTGCAGGCGTGGAGGGAGCCTGGCTCCTTGAGGAACGACCTTCCTCTCCTACTTCCGATCCTATTCCCAGGCGATGTGGCCGTCGAAACTGGACTTTTATATACGTTTCATTATGTGTTAAAATATTCTTCTTATGACTCCCTGCACCCCAACTATTTAAAAAGGGAATATGATTTTTCGTTTCCAAGCTGTATGAAAAATAGGGGGTGAGCTCGATGTGGCCAGTGGGCTGTAGTTGGCAGGCCGTGTCATGGAGGTTCAGTGCCGTGACCTGCCCCCGCGTCCCCCAGTGTGACAGTTTTGGTGGTTCTATTCTGTGGGTGTCCCTGATGGGGCCAGGAGGGTCCTGGACAGAAGAGCCCCGGTTTTCTACTCCACTTCCCCTGAACCCCATGGGCACCTCTAACTGCCTGATACATATGCTGGTTCCCACTTGAAGGAAATGCTTTGTGGCCAAAGAGCATGCGTGTCCCTGGCCTGGCCAATCCCCTTTGTCTCACAAACGAGGAGAGCAGACTGTGAGAGGAGCGAGGCCCGCCGCGGGCCCAGGTCAGGTGAAGGTGCAGACCCCAGCCAAGTCCCTTCCACCTGCCCCCTGCAGCCCCCGAGGAGCGGGCACTTACCCCCTGGCAATCGTGGCCGCCCGGGGACCTCGGCTTCCCCCGGGGCTGCAGTCACCTGCACGACAAGGTCCTCACTGGTGAAGGGGCCCTGGCCCGGCGTGGACTCCTCGGGAAAGGCCCCGGGCCTGGTGGCCTCTCCAGTCCTGTTCTCGGCCCCAGGGAAGGCGGTGACCTCTCTGTCGGGGGCCAATGTGAACGGCTCCTCAGGCTCCAGGGCAGTGGGGGAACCGAAGATGGGCTTCGCGGTGAGGATCACGTTGCCGCGGGCTTCACCCTCCGTGATGTTCCGGGGGAGGGGCAGCTCCACGTCAGGCCAGGTCACCGTCTGGACGGTGATGTTCTCCTCCCCGCCCACGCCGAAGAAGTTCTCCGGGATGTCCACAAAGTCTTCGCCTGGGCAGGGACAAGGAGGGGCCTTCGTTAGCGGCTCAGCCTGGGCCGACGGGCGGGGGCGAGCCTGGGCTCCGCCTCCGCCACTGCTAGGGAAGAGAAGCGCCTACTGCGTGCCTGGCACCTCATCTGTGTGACAGCTCATTATAGGACACTCCACAGTTTCCAAAGGGCAAAAGAATGCGAAGTTATCGTTATGCAAGATATTGACCAATCATCTCACTGCTTATATAGCCAGTGCAGTTCCAACGTCTCTTCCTGATTGATACCTGCCATCTCTTCACCTCTCTCCTGAGCACCTTGCTGAGCAGCCAATGGGACAATGTGAATCTCTCATAAAGGGAGATGGAAAAATCTCATGAAGATGAGGGAGCTCTTGAACTTGATGAAACGTGAAAGAAGGACTCACAGGAATCGGAGGGTCTGGCAGAAATGGCCAGTTAATCATCAATAAAGAGAAAACCCACAAGGGTGCGCTGACTTCGAAAAGGGTGGTTAGACTATTGAAAGGCTGGAGAGGCTTTGGGGGAAATCCTCATTATTTTTGCAAAAACAACCCTCTTCATGTAAGATCTGGCTGCGAGAGTTAACAAGAAATCAGCAACATCACTCTGTGGTCGCCGACTGTAACGTAAAATTGATGCAACTCCGTGTCATTCATTTTTTGGTCCCTCCAAGAAGTAGCATTTAATTGTAGTTATTACTTAGATTGTGTAAAATATAAGGTAAAAAAAACCTTTTGCCTAAATTTTCAAAATAAAGCCCCTGCCAAAACTTTCCCCCATTCTTTTCAGTAACACGTTGGCCCTCCTTTTAAGTGACTCCCATTTCAAGGGCAGATAACAGGGCCCCGTGTGGGGACATGGTCTCATGTCAGGCCTCCCCATCTCCCATGTGGTGCCACTGTCTCCCTATGTGACAGATGGGGAAACTGAGGCTCAGGGCTGCGGCTTTTCTGCGGTTGCGCAGTAGCAGGTAGCAGAGCCTGAGATTCAAACCTGAGGAGACACAGACTCTACAGTTCACGCTTTTAACCTGTTCGAGGCTGATGAGACAGGGCTGGATACTCTACCTTAGCTCTTTGGAACCAGTGGAAACGGGGGTTGCTAAAACATGGGGTTCGGGTACCCAGTGGCCCCTTGAAATGATGAAAAAAAACCAGCCCCCCATTCCCAGGTCTCTTCCCCTGGGCCCCAGTTGTGCAGGCACGACCCCCCCGGGCCCCCAGCCCTGCCGCACCTGTGTAGCAGATGGCGTCGTAGCGGGACGAGGGGTCGGGGTAGCCCGTCTGGTTGGCGTGCAGGTAGACGGTCCTCACGCCCAGGAGGTTGCCCCCGCAGTTGGGCCGGGCCTTGGAGATGGGGTAGCGCACACTGCGGTCAGCCAGCCAGCCGGCGCTGCACACGTCCATGCCGCCCTGCCAGGCCAGGTACAGCTGGCCCGTGGTGGCCAGGCGGGCGCCCAGCCGCCGGCACTCGTTGGCGGCCTCCTGGAAGGTGAACTTCTCCGGTGACGTCGAGTAGAAGACCTCGCCTGGGATGGACACAGCAGGCGGGGTGAGGACCTCCCCGCCGCCCCGCCCCGTGTCGCCCAGGAAGTCCACGTGGTGCCTCCGGGTCTTGAGCACATTCTGACTTGGGACGCGGACGGCTGGGCAGAGCAGCGGGGATCCCCGCTGGGAGGGGCCGTCCCAGGTGGGGGCCCGGGGATGGGCACTTTCCAGTGGCACCTGTTTGCAGGAGCCTGGGGCCATGGAGGCCCGGAGGCCCACTCTTTCCTCCCCACCCCTCGGGGCATGGTAGAGGGGGCGCCTTGGATGAGTGCGCTGGCCCAGATCCCGAGTGGCACCAGGACAATGGGGCGCAGGACGTGGACTCCTAGGAACAGGGCAGGGTAGCCTCACCCTCCATCTCCTCCGCAAAGCAGTACACGTCATAGGTCTCGTTGGTGTCACGGATGCCATAGGTTCTCACGCCTGGAAACTCGTCCTTGTCCCCGTAGCAGCCTTCCCGAGGAACGTGGATGGGGTACCTGCCAGGAACCCATGGTGGGGGGTTTCACTAGGGGACAGAGGGCCTGTGCCCTGGGATGCTTCCCCTCTGGGGGAGGCGGCAGCGACTCACTGATGTTTGCCGGTGTCTGCCCTGGATGTGTGGACTATTTGTTTTTGCAGGTTTTCCTGCAGCTTCATTGAAATACGTATTTGTATAGCTATTGGTGATTCAAGACGCTTTACTGACTATTTATTGGATCCAAAGATGTTCTTTCAGGGGCCTGCACACCTTTTTTGGTCAAAGGCCAGAGAGTAAATATTTTAGGTTTTAGGTGAGTGATGGTGTGTATGTAATTTGCATGGACGATGCTCCTACCAGGCAAAGCTGCCGGGAGCCGCTCCCTCCACGGCAGGACACCGGGTGCCTGATGTGGACTCAGCCAGGGCATCCCTCCAGCCCCAACCTAGGCCGGCCACGGTGTCACGCTGGCACCAGCTCAGCGCTGGTCAGTGTTGCGGTGCATCGGCCACCCCACTCTGCTGGCGGCCTGGGGGCTCACCTGACAGTCTGGTCGGCCAGCCAGCCGGCGTCGCACTGGTGGAAGCCGTCCTCGTATGCGGCCTGCAGCTGCTCGGGCGTGGCGATGATGGCGCTGTTCTGCAGGCAGGCCCGCTGCGCCCTGTCAAAGTCCAGGGTGTAGCGCGTGGAGATGGCTCTGTAATGGAACACAATGCCTGCGAGCCAGGCGCGGGCCGGAGAGCAGGTCAGGCACAGCCTCCCGTCACTGCGGTCCTCGCAGAGTGACGGCAGTCGTCAAAGGGACCTCACAGTCGCCTGGTGCAGGCCACTAGCTGATGCATGAATTCCCTTTCCACATCTGCATGTGGTCTTTCTGCCTTTGCTGGAATACCTCCAGCAACGGGCGACTCACTACCTCCCAAGCATCTCTTTTAAATATCTATGATAATTCTGATAATCAGGAAGTTCTTTCAATTGAGCTAAAAGCTGCCTCCTTGTAATTTTTTTCTTGTCACCTCAGGACCCCACATTTGCTTTGCGGAGACTCTTAGAGGCCAGGCACCCTCAGCCCAGGGGCACCCTGGTGAGGCATGTGTATGGCACCCCCGGGGGTGGACCAAGGAGCTTCCCAACAGGAAGACTCTGGCGCTGACCAAAGTTCTGAAGCCAACCAAGGCCACCACCATTCTCCTCGGGCCATGGAGAGAAAGGGCACCAGGGCGTCTTTCTTTGGCTTCTGGAACCAAGAATGGGGGTGGGAGGTGGGGGAGGGCGAAGACCCCTGGCGAAAGAGCCAGGAGGCTGCCCTGACTCAGTTCCAGGACACTCCAGGCAAGTCACTCAACCTCAGACTGCTGGTCTGTTCCACAGGGGTGAGCACAAGGGCCCTGCAATCACAGGGTCGCCGCAAAGCACCAACTGTCACCTGCATGTGACCGTGGCCAGGAAGTGTTTATTCCCCGCCAAGTCCAGAAAGAATGTTATCGCCAGCTCTCTGTTACAACCGACATTGAGTAAGTTGGTTGAGGTGCACACGGGCAGGGGCGGGTTTGGGATTGGAGAGCCAGCCAGTCTGGGTCCCCCCCGGGGAAGATGCTATTTGGTTCTTTCCAGAGATGAACCAGGATCCCTGGGTCGGGGGCGGGGTCTCACCTTTCACCACGACCTCCACGGTGGCCTCGCTGTCCTCGATGCCGTGCATGACCTCGCAGCGGTAGACCCCCGAGTCGTTGGAGCGCAGGTTCTGGATTTCCAAGGTGGCGTCGCTGGGGATGGCCGGGTAGTTGGGCAGCGAGACCTTGTCCTGGTAGGCACTGTTGACCCGCACCTGTCCTTCCGTGGCCACCAGCAGAACCACCTCCTTCTCCTTGGAAATGCGGCTCCACTTGATTCTCGGGGCGAGGGGGGCGGTGGAGGGGGCGGTGGTCACAGGGTGCATGGGGTCGATGAAATAGCAGGGGATGGTGAGGGAGGTCCCCAGGAGGACCCGCAGTGGCGACGGCTCAGGGATGCTGACGCTCAGCGAGTTGTCAGGGTCTGCAGGGGAGGCAGACTTGTTAGTGCCTGGAGAGGACCACCCAGCCTCCCTGGCAGAATCCAACGAGCCTGGGTGTCTGTGTTGGGGACACTCCTGCGTCACATGGAATTCCCAGGAATCCTCGTGACACCCTTTCCAGAACAGTGTTCCTCAAGGCCCCTGGTGCCTGCACCACAAGACAGGGGCTACGGAGCCAGAGGGGGTTGCTGGGGAGGGCGGGGGAACTCCAGAGTCGCGACCACCTCTCGGGGTTCCCAAACTAAGGTGCTCTAGGGGATGCCACGCCATTGGATACACAGGCCCCATCTTCCTGGGGTGGCAGCTTGACTCACAGACTTGGGGAATAATCATTTGGGGGAAGAAAGATTATTATGGGGAAGAAAAAATATCCACAAAACTTTTAAAGCCAAGAGACAAAACTTCAGAGATGGGCCCCACGGAATGAGGTTTGCTTTGGGCTTCACCCTGGCTTTGCTGGAGGACAAGTCATTCTCTCCCGCTGTTGAGGAATTGGGGGCCTCGTTGGAGAAGCACCAGAGAAGGTCAGACCTTTAAGTCTGCAAAGAGTCAGACAGGGTGGGGGTGTGGTGTGATCAGACTCTATAAAAATTCATAGAGGGCATTCACAGGGAAGACGCGGTGGTTTACCAAATGCTGTTAGAGGTGAAGGTCTTCCTGGAATGGGGAAGAAATAGCTTTTGAAAAAAAATGGCACCTTTCACGGTGAGTCATCGGCTCAGGAGACCCTTTGTGCAGGCGAGGTTGCAGGTCGCACATAGAAATGTTTCAGGTATTTGTGGGTGGTAGGTTCGTAACAGGGCAAGGAAGGGGGAGCCAGGAATGTCTGGGGGCCAGCCCTAACCTTCTGATGTCCTGGGCAGTCGCCACCAGGCCCTTCCACAAAACCTCCCTTTGAACGCACCACAGCCCAGCATGGGCTCCCAGGTGGTCATCTTCCCGGAGGAGCTGAAGGCGGCAGCAGCGCCCAGCTCTACTGTCCTGAAAGCTCTCGACCAGCCTTCGGGGACTGGGCGAACCACCGCAGGTCACAGCCAGGGGCAGGTATTTGCGGGTCCCGGAGCAAGAGGGCAAAGGGAGGCCGTCAGATACCCTGTGCCTAAACACGTAAGGGTTATAAATCGAGCTAACAGACTGTTAAATAAAATATCTCCTCTTTTCCTATTTGACAAGGATACTTTTCAAAATGAAAAGCCAGATGCAAAGGTAGAGTTCTTGGATCCCTTAGAGTTTGGCGCCGGGATGTGGTATCCAGGTGGGGGGAGGGGACCCGGGCCCCTTCTTTTCCCACCGCTGTTCTGCCCTGGGCGGGGGCTGTGTTAATCCCGGCCTCACCTCCCAGCTCCGACTGCACCCCATACAAACAGCCACCTCTTAACCTCTCCCTCGGGTCTAGGGGTGGCTCACACCAGGGGCATGATCCCCCATAGTTGGTGGACCTAGAGAAGAGACCCGGGTGAGCCTGGAAGTGGCGCGGGTCCACTTGGGCGGGGAGTTCTGGGTGTCCTGCATGCCCAGAGCGTGGTCTAAAGGCGGGGCATTGGTCTGGATGTCCATGAACAGAGGCCTCCCTACCTGGGTCTAAGCAAGATCCTGCTCACTTTAGGGTGAGTGGAGAATTTGTTCGTTTGGCTCAGAGCTTGATGATCAGAGGTCTACCTGGTACCTGCCACGTGCAAGAGACCAGGCAGGGACATCCGAGGATGGTCTGCCAAGAATGACAAGGACCTGTGTGGTCAGCTGGGGCTTCTTCCCAACTGTTTCTCAGGCAATTTTCTCAGATGCTCCAGCCGGTCCTTCCCTGGCAGGCTTTCCTCTTTGGGCTTGTCAAGGGCCTGCCCCAACCCCAGGCTCAGTATGTGGCAGCTGTAGGTGGAATCCGTGGAGAGGACGTTGGGAAGGTGGGCGCCTGCCAGGAGCTCCTCCCTGCCTCCTACTGTCTGTCCTAGGGGCTCTGGGATGCATGCGTGTGTGCTCACCGTACAGGTGCTCGACCACCGCGGTTATGCTCGCCTTTGACAGAAAAGGGAAGGGCCAGGAAAAGGCTGGGGAAGTGACGATTCCATCCCTGGGACCAGCAGCACCAGGTTCAGCAGCTGGAACGTGGAACCCAGCCCTCAGCACCCGCTGGGCTATGGGAAACCTGCGCGGGAGTGTCCTCACCTGGAACTTCTACCGTGACGGCTGCGGCGATGACCCTCAGAGTCACAAACACCAAGAGTAAAGTGGTCATAGTTCACCTGGAAGAGGGAAGGCAGAAGTGTTACTGGGGGGTTCCCGTGCAGTGACATCGAGGAAGGTGACACATGACACCGGGTGGTAAACTTCACGCCCAAGAATATGAAATCACTTTGCGATAAGGGGGTTGCGTGTGGTTCAAGGGATGTCTTTTCCAAGAATCTTCTCTTCACAAAACCTTCACAAATTTCCTGGCTTAATGACAGGTGTGAGGCTGGCTGCCCCGTCCCCTCACCTTTTCTAAGGAACTTCCCATCTTCCAACCAACAAAGCCTCCATCCCAAAGGACCCTTGCGATGGCTGATTTTCTCAGAGCCTGCCTGAGCCAGGGGGTGCTCAGACAGTGTGTCAGATTATTCTGGGTGTGCCGGGGAGGGGCCTTTTGGGTGAGGGTAACACTGGAATTGGTAGCCTGACTAAAGCAGATTGCTCTGCTCATGTGGGTGGGCCTCGTCCAATCAGTTGAAGGCCTGACTACAACCATAAGACTGAACCTCCCCCCAAAAGGGATAATTCCTCTTGCCTGGTGACCTTCAAATTGCCTTTGGACTCAGACGGAAACATTGGCTCTTCCTGGATCTCAAGCCTGCAGACTCAAGCCAGAAGCACACCCTGCTCTCCCGGGTCTCCAGGTATTGGATGTCTTCATCATCATGCTAAACAATTCCTTAGAATACATCTCTTTCTATATATACACACGCACATCCGACTGGTTCTGTCTCTCTGGACAACCCTCAGGCCCAGAGAAGCGACATAGCCAACCTCCCTGGTGAAATCTGGACCTGCCACCAACTTCAAATCCAGGAATCTCTTGTGTTTTACAATGAAGAATGCTCCAAGGTTCCGGGCAAGATTCACGGGCCAGGCTCAGGTCAAGGGACGGGTGCCCACCGAGGGAGCTCTGGGGAGGCTGTGGATGACAGATGAGCATCCAGCTGAGAAACGAAAGCCATGGACCCCGCCTGCTGGCCCGAACACCGACTTCATGTGAATCAGACAAACTAGCCTTCCCATTGTCATCTGCTGGAAAACTGTCACATTAAGTTGACAAATCTGTGACAACCATGACGTAAAGGGCATCTGCTGCACAATGGGGACCCCGACCCCAAATGGACGGGTGCAGGTACACCCGAAAAAAGCCCAACTGAATCACAGGAGATGAAGCAGAGGGACGGTTCTCAACCGCGGCTGCATGTGCACATCCCCTGGTCCTCAGGCATTTGGAAAGCTTCCCAGAAAGCTCTAGCGGTGCAGCCGAGATGGAGCAGGCCTCCTGTAGGTCCCTGGGACTTGCACTTCTATGACATGTGCCCGATGATGTTTCCTGGTTGTTCTCTTGGATGGACTTGCATTGGCACCTCCCCCACCCTCCTCTGCAATCTTTGAGCAGTTGGTGTTGGTTAAGACATGTTTGCATCATGGTGGATCTGGAACTAAAGATGAGAATGGAGTAACCCTCCGCTGAGGCTGTGGCCCTGGCTTCCCCGACCTTGGCTCTGCCAGAGTCCTATAGCCCAGCAGGTGTCGCTGTGGGTGCAGTCACTATTAGCTGGGGCTGATGCATCCCACCCAGCCTGGGGCTCCCATCCCAGAAATGCATGGGGGAGAGGTGGGTGGGGCCCAAGACCTGCTTGGGTGACTCTTGCCTCTTGTTTTGAGAGACCTTTCCACCACAATCCTTCATTCTACATACACATGTCACCTGGGCGGTGAAAGGGCCACACGTGCAGGTGCTGCTAGGGGCACAGAGATGAGTACATGGGGTGTCTCCCTCACACGCAGGAAGTCCGGAGAACCCCAGAGGGCTGAGAAGCAAACCCCTGCTTCTCCTTGGGGACTTTCCTCCTTAGATGCTGCCTTCAAAAATAATCGGGGGCTCCAGGTCCTGGCTCTGTGAGTTGTCTTTCAGGCCCAGCATGACCACTCACAGCTGCGGGGTCGGCCCTGGAAGGCTCAGAGGGCAAAGCGTCCCTCCGCTCCGGGGAGGGGGCTAGACTTGTGGGCTCCTCTGGTCCCAGAGCCTGGGGGATTCCGTGTCCAGACACAAGGCTTGCCTGTCCTTCTTCCCTCAGAACACCCTTCCCTGGGACGTTTTGTGTATGTTTTCGGAGTTCTGTTTCTTTCCTCAGTCTCTGAACAAGCGCAACATTGTCCAGGATGCTGTGGTTCTCTGTGGGGCTTAGGTCTGCTCTGTTTTTCTCCCTGTTCTCCTCCACCAGAAATGAAAAGGGATTTGGGGTGGGGAGCGGAGTGAGCAGAAAAACTCATTTTATTTCTTCTTCTTCTTCTTTTTTTTTTTTAAAGACAAACTTCAGGATAGAAATATTGCAATAAATATGCTCTTGTGTTTGTGTGTGTTTTCTTAGCTGTAAAGAAAATAGGGAGAAATTCCATTCTGTCTGGGTTCCAAGTGTCTCCAGGACTCAGTGAGGCTTTTATGTGAGGACACGGACTTTGCCAGCCCCGTCAACAGGGAGGCCTTTCTCCACGGGAGCAGAGTCAGGTGGTGGTGAGGAGACTGTGTACCTGGGGAAGAGGGAGGCGGAAGGGGGCGCCTGAAATGAAGCGAAAGAAGGGCTGGGGAGGGTGGGCAGGAAGCGAATGCTGCTGGGTGAAGGCTGGTGTGTGCGTGCGTGACCGGGAGAGAGAGAGGGAGAGTCAGGCAGGGAAACCCTTCACCTTCCCATTAGCCAGACCCTGTCCCACAGCTGCCCGCCGGGCCCGAGCCTCGGCCTTTATTCCATCAAATTATGGGACCGAATGTGCGGCTCACCGCTTGCTTTGAATTCCTCTTCAAGCACAGTGACGACCCCCAGGCCCAGGTCCTGGTTCTGGCTCAGCCACTTAACTGCTTTAATAATACAAGTCCCACCCCTGTGGCTGGTTCAAAGCCTGGGCGAGACACGGTGCCAGTCAGAGCCCTCGTTGAGGGCGGGGACTGTGTCTCTGGCTGGGTCCCTGGCGCAGGGTCTGGCACTCAGCAGGCATCCCTCCACGCCAGTTTCCTCCCTGCTCCGAAGGTGGGGACCGGAGAGAGTTCAGCAGCTGTCGGGAGGCTCCTCGTCCTGGGATGGGGGCCGGAGGAAATGACGTCCCATAAAGAATAAAACAGCCTCTGTTTCAAAAATGACGTCGCCACACTACCGAACATTGGGGACGTAGAGAAAACCAGTCACTGTCATCCGCAATCTCAATCCAACCACTATTTGCGTTTTGATGGTTTGCCTGCTCTTTTTTTCCCACGGCGTTCACGCATGTTTCACCGAGTTGTCATCTTTTTGTGTCCTGTTTGCTTTTTCCATGTAACGCGGTGGCCCAAATGACTCCCCACCCCCCAGATCCTTCAGAACTGATGACTCTGGGGTTTTACTGTCACATCCTCCCTGCCAGGGATCCTGCCCACGCCGCTGAGGTCTTTGGCCTCTGCTCGGGGAGGAGGTGCCCCTCCTTTCCCGCGGGGGCCCAGGCCAAGGCTGGGCAGCTCTCACTGTGCTCACGGTCTTCCCAGAAGGAATCAAAACGACCTGCCCCCAATGTGCTTTTCACCCTGCACGTCTGCCCGCAGCGACCACACCACGCATGCCCGCTGCTCTTTCCTGAGACTCGTGGCAGATCTGCAGGGGCCCACTCTGCTCTCCCCTTTGCTGTTCCCCCGTGAAGACACTCCCAGTTCCTTCAGCTCTTCCAGACCTCTCCTCCCTCCCCGGGGCCACAGAGGGTCAAGCTTGGATGGACTTGAGTGAACACCACACCTGACTCCTTCCTTCTACAGGGCAAGAAACGGAGGCCCAGAGAAGTTAAGTGATTTGCTCAAGGCCACACAGGGAGTTGCAGAGGGAGCCAGGACCAGAACCGGCTCTAGGGGCCTGGCTATCACAAGCCCGTGTTTGGGAATTCTGCGGGGCAGCTACCCTCCCTGTTTTGCTCTTCACTGTCTCCCTGGCCCCCGGCACAGTGAGAGGCCTCGGGAAACACCTGCTGAGTGAATGGACAGGTGGGAAGTCTAAGCACCTCAGAAATCATTTCCTTCAACTCCAGGCCTCCGAGGGAGGAGGGGTCAGCCTGGAGGCTCACATTTGCTGAGCACCTAGGAGGTGCACAGCCCTCTGAGGTAGCCCATTGTTTTTGTTTTTGTTTTTGTTTTTTTGAGAGAGAGAGATCAATTTTGTTGTTCTACTTCCTCATGGCTTCATTGGTTGATTCCTTTAGGTGCCCTGATGGGGGCTCGACCTGCAACCTTGGTGTATCGGGATGATGCTCTAACCAACTGAGCTACGTGGCCAGGGCCTGAGGTCGCCCCTTCCTGTTCTGCACTCAGTACATCTCAGCGAGAGACAGACGTATACTGCTTGCTTGTGATGTGCATGGCTGTATTGATTCCTGCAGCATGTCGGTGTAGCAGGTGACTCCAGGAAGGATGCAGTCCACGGGCAGCCCAGCGGTGTGACAACCGAGGTCTTCCCTTCCCCGTCCCCCGGAACCAAAGCTGTGCTGGGACAGGTTTGCCCCAGCGGCTCTCTGGAGCCCGTTTTAAACATCTCTTCCCAACTGTGTGTTCAGTGATGTCACGTTGGTGGAAATTGCTGGGGGTACATGTACCATGGAAGTCAACACTGAAAACAAGGGCTTTGTTTCCCACCCTTTTTGAGAGTAGGCTTACCAGCACAGTACTGGAAGCGCTAATAGGAAATAAAGAAAAAGCACAGGGGAAGGATAACGGGTACCTCTCTTCTTCTGCCCCACAAAGCCTCACCTTCCAGTGGGTCCCAGGGGGCATCGGAGCTGACCCTGTTTGCCAGCCTCAGAGCAGGGTGGGGTGGGCTGTGCCCGCCTCCATGCCATCCTCTGGGGTCCAGCCTGACCCTGCCACGTCCCTGCAGATGCAGCCAATGGTTGCCGGGTAAGTGAACATAAGCTCTCACCCTGCCCTGACCCCACAGTCTCCTGGGTCCTCCAGGAGGCCTCAGCGGGCCCTGCCCCTTGGCTCAGCTCTCCTGTGGCC